CGACGCCGCCGGCGCGGCGGCCGAGGGCAGCCGAGAGCTGGTTGATGCTCACCGCCGACGGCGCCGGCGCCGGCGCCGCAGCCGCCGTCGACGTGGGCGGCGGCTGGTGCTGGTGCTGTTGTTGTGGAATCTGGTGGTGGTGGTGCTGCGGCTGCGGTGGGTAGGGCTGGTAGTGAGGCGGCTGGGGCTGGTAGTGGTGCTGGAAGTGGTGCGGCGCAGCTGCAGGCGGCGGTTGCATGTGGTGCTGATGTTGAAGTTGCATGGCAACCGGCGGCGGGTGGAATGGCACGTGCGGTTGCGGTTGCGGGTGCTGCGGCGGCGCCATTGGCTGCAATGGTGGCTGGGGCTGGGGCTGTGGCATGGTCGGAGGAGGCGGGCCGGCAGGCTTGGGCGGCGGCGGACCCGCGGGCTTGGGCGGCGGCGCAACGGCCGGCAGAGGCGCCGCAGAAGGACCGTCGGGCTTGGGCGCCGACTGGCTTGGGCGGTGGCGCCGCAGTCGGCTTGGGCGGCGGCGCAACGGGCTGTGAGGCTGGTGGCACCCCGGCGGGCTTGGGCAAAAAAAGCCGGCGGGCTTGGGTGGGGGTTGCGGCGGCGGCGCAGTGGTCGGGACCGCCGGCGGCGGGAGGCCAGCGCCGGGCGGCTCGGCGGCCGCTGGAGCGGAGACCGCCGACGATTGGCTGCTGTCGACGCCACCCTCGCCCACCTCGGCTTCGGCCTCATCCTCGGCCTTCTGCTTCTTCGCCGGCGGCACAACGCCTTCCTGGTCTGCTGTGCGTGCGGTGCGTGCGGTGCGTGTCATGGTACGTGTGCGGTGCGTGCATGAGCGAGTGCTGCTGGGCGGAACGGCGAGCGGGGGGGAGATCGTACCGAGCTGGTCGGGGCCTACGCCGGGCGGGCCTTCGAGGCCGGGAGGAGCCGCGGCGTGCGGAGGCTGGCCGGGCGGCAGCTGGTGCTGGTACATGCCGGGCTGTGGTGGCATCATTCCCGGCATTCCTGGCATTCCGGGCGTCCCCATACCCGGCGGCGCACCCGGCCACCCGGGATACCCGCCCGGCTGCGGCATCCCATCTGGTCATCGCGCACGCGATGAGACACGCCAATCGCACACACCGCGACCCGACGCACGACACGACACGCGCGGGTGGAAGGGGCGAGAGGGTACAGGGATAGGGGTAGCCGGGCGCCATGGCCTGCTGCGGGTGGTGCTGGAGGTGCGGCGGGTAGCCGACGGGGGCGTAGCCGTGCGGCGCCCCGGCCATGTAGGGGGCGGCACCGCCCGGGCCGCCGTAGGGGCCGCCGCCGCCGTAGCCGGGAGGACCCTGGCCGGCTGGCCTCGGCGCTTGGCTCTCTGGCTTGTCCTGCCAACCAATGAGACGTGAGCCCTTCATCATGTGTGCGTGTGCGGCGGTGCGTGTGTGTGCGTGTGCGCCGGAGGTTGAGGGGTTTTGTGTGCGCGTGTGCGTGTGCGGCGGTGTGTGTGCGGTTGGTATGTGTGCGTGTGCGGTGTGTACCCCTTGTTTTTCGATCACTTGGCCGAGCACATCTTGCAGCTTTCGCTTCTTCGCCTTGAGCTGCTTGTCCACTTTACCCGAGGCCTCTGTTACCATCCACAGAGAGAAAAATGTAATCAAATAAAAATAAAATAAATAAAATAAATAATTGTTTTTGGCAGGGAGGGAATTGTGTGTTTCTTGCATCACTTCAAGATGAAGGAGGAGCAAAAGATAGAGAGCGTGGGCAGAGGGGGTAGTACATTGTACGGCTGTAGGTACCTATGTTTTCGATCTTGTGAATCTTCTCCTGGATCTTCTTGGGATCCGTCTTGAGCAGGGTTGTCTCCCTCTGCTTGTCTCGCTTCACTTTATTCTACACATGGCCAGCAATTAATCATCAATCAATCGATTACTGGGGGGGGGATTGCTGGAAGAGTGGTCGCACCTTCTTGAGCTCCTTCTTCCTCTGCTGCTTGCGAAATGCATCTGTGGGATTGAGCGCACGGCCTCCCTTGCGTCCCATTCGTTTGTTGTGTGCGATTTGCTGTAACGGTCTGTCGAGTGTGTTGTTTGTTTTTTTGTTACGTAAAAGAAAAAGCGAGGAAATTGAGAGATCTGGATGAGATGATTAATTGTATTTGATTGATTGAATGGAGAGTAGGTAGAAGACAAGGAACAAAATTAGGAGAGCCATATCTGGGCCTCCTCTTTGTACAAAGATTAAAGGATAGGCCGGAGAGGAAATGAAATTGGGCGACGAGCATGTCGCTTAGTGCGTCTCGGATGTCGAAGATGAAGAGGAGGAGATAGGCGCGGCGACAGCCTTGGGCTTGGGCTTGTCGCTGTTGAGGCTGTTGAGGGTGATCACGCCCGACGCGCCCAGGAGGAGCACTACGGTCGTGAATTGTGCCGCTACGCGCGCCCGCATGAGCTTCTGGCCGAGGGCGCTGTTGCCCGTCTTGAGGGTCCACAGGCCGGCACCGAGGATGCCCGCCGTCGAGAAGGCGCCGAGGGCCACCCACGGGTACCGCATCACGCGCTCCCAGAGGTTGAGATTCTCCTCGGGGTTGGGGTAGAAGGGCACGTAATTGCCGCGGTAGTCGAGCGAGCCGCCCTGGTCAGGAAGATCATCGTGCTTCTTGCTCATGATGCTTGGATGATGTGTGGAGAGTGTAGAGTGTAGTGTTCGAATTCGCTCTTCTCTTCTTCTTCTTGTAGAGATGGTTGGCTGATGTTGCGTAGATTGTCGTCAGCCGCAATGCGAATGGAAAATTACATTTTTATTAGCTGCGCCTATTTATATTTTGCCGACGCCGGGCGTTTCGAGGAAACCAGGAATCTCCTCGAGAACTGCGGGACCGTCCGGGGCCGGAAAGTCCCATTCTTCCGACGTGTTTCGGATGTTTCCGGTCCTAATAACGCCGAATGCTCGCACTTTCCTTGTGGGGTTTTGATTCCACGTTTTCCTCTTCTCTTTCTTCACCCTTCCCATGACCTCTCCTGCAAACCTCTTCCTCTTCCTGGCCCTGGTATCCAACTTTCCTCCGGCGTGCTGGGCTTTATTCCTTTTTGGCCAATACGCAAACATAATTTATTTGTATTTAAATTATTATTTGAATAATAATAATAATAATAATATAAATATAAACATAAATACAATGGCAGGTGGTGCTGGTGGCCGCGGTCGTGCCGGCAAGCGCCCAGCAGCTGCCCATTCCCAAGAGGCCGTCGGGCATGCACCGGGGCAACCCCGCCGCACCCATTCACCTCACTGAGTTCGCCGACTACCAATGCCCGGACTGCGGCGGTACCGCACACGCACACGCACACGCACACGCACACGCACACGCACACACCACCGCACACGCACACGCACACGCACACGCACACGCACACGCACACGCACACGCACACACCACCGCACACCGCACACGCACACGCACACGCACAACGCATGCACGCGACACTCACCTGATTGGTGCACGATCGTGGGGTGAATGCAGTGTCGTACCCGGTGGTGGAGAAGGTGTTGCAGCACTACGGACCGGACAAGATCTACTACACGCTCCACGTCTTCCCCCTGTGGCTCCATCGCCAGGCCTTCATTCTCGCCGAGGCCGCGGGCGTCGTCGCCCTCAACGCCCCTGAACGTACGTACCTGCTCCCACGATACGCGACACGACACACACGACATTCACCACCGCACACGACACGACACGACACGACACGCACGGCATGACGGGTTGGTGATGACACTTTTGAGTGGCGCTGTTTGTTGTTTGTTTGCTTGGGGATGGCAGACTACTGGGAAGCTGCGCAGTTTCTGTTCGCCAACCAGGCGCAGTTCTTCAACAGCGCCTACAGGAACAAGACCGCCAATGATCTGTACCGCTCTCCTTCTGCGCACGCACACACGCACACGCACGCACGCACACGCACACGCACACGCGGTCTGGCGGAGACTTACGGGAGCGAGCGTGCAGGTATGCCCACTTGGCCGGTTGGATGCCCAAGTTTGGTGTCAGCCCTGCCACCTTCTACACGCAGATCGACAGGTTCGCCATTTTGGATATTTTTGCGTATATCTATATTCATATCTAATATTGTGGAAATATAAATTGATGTGTTGGTCACATTACTACACTAATTTAATGTGCCCACGTGTGTACGCGACAGCGATGCGGTGTTTGCGCATGTGGACGCGGACATTCATCAGGCGCTGATCCACCAGATCTATGGCACGCCCACATTCGTGATCAACGGCTTCAAGGCGGAGAACCTCGACCAGACCACCACCTTCGCCCAGTGGATCACCTACCTCGACGCCCTCCTCCAACCCGCCACCCTTTCCGCCTGATTTATTCGGCTTTAATTTATTTTATTATTATTAATAATTCATTTTCCAACACGCGAAAAACATATGATTACCATTTTAGGGAAGGCTGTCTCATCGGTTCACGGCTTCACCTTTCCTCCACTCGTCTACACGCCTTCATCTACCTCCACGCCGCCATGAACGTGTCCATCTTCTCTTCGCTGCTCCTCTCCATGAGCGTGTTGTGCGTCCTCCTCGTGACGTCCGCCAGGTCCGCCCCCATTACCGCCGCTCCCCCTGCCACCGGCAACACCTCCTGCGAGATCTGTGAGCTGGGTACCCCCTCCAGTCCGTCGACAACTTCCCATTTTCTTTTGAATCATTCAATATTCTCCAAGGCCTCATTCATCTCTTTGTAATCTTCATCTTAATTGCAATTCTCTTTCTTTTTTTTTTTTAAATTTACCTGGGTAGTGGTGGGCGTCATCGCGGTTGCGGAGAGCAGTTTCAACGCCAGCCTCCAGCAAGTGATCATCATCGTCAACAACCTCTGCCTCCTCATCGGCGGTGGCGTCATTGGCGCTGAGGTTCGTTCGTCTCTTCTTGCGTCGCGTGTCGTGTGTCGTGTGTCGTGTGTCGTGTGTCGTGTGCGTGTGTCGTGTGTCGTGCTGTTTGCTGCTTCTGGCCGAACACCAAGACTGACTGTTCAACAACATGTTCCCGTGATTGCACACAGTGTGGGTTCCTGACCGGAGCCATCAACCAGATCATCCAGTGGCTCGCTGCCGAGCTGACCCCGGTCGACATCTGCCAGAGGCTCCACTTCTGCAACTCCACGGCACCGATCCCCATGGTCTCCGCGACCGACAGCAAGAGCCTCGAACTCCTCAGCACCCTCCTCTTCCAGAAGGCCCAGTTCCTCGCCCAGAACCAATAAGTGAGTGAGTGAGTGAGTCGTTTGCGTCTAATGATCCAATAGCAATGCAACAAACAACGCTGCTGCTCTGGTTCGAGTGTGTGCGATGTGTGTCGTGTGTCGCGTGTTGTGTGTGTTGTGTGCGCACACGCTATCGCGGTCAGCCCTCCTCCTCGCCCTCGCCAAAAGACAGCACCCGCTTGTTGGCCACACGCGACGACGCCGGCGCCGCGCGTACTCTCGGCTGCGACTGTCCTGCGGCCTTTGTCGTCGTCGTCTTCGTTGTCGTCGTCGCCGTTGCCGTCTTCTTCTTCTTCTCCGCCGCCGCCGCCTCGCCGCCGTCCTTCGTTGTTGCTCGTCGCTCATCATCGTCGGCTTTTCCCTTGGCGTCGGCGGCCGGCGCGGCTTCGTCGACCTTGGCCTTCTTCTTCTGCGGGACGCGGTAGCTGTGGCGGCCGCTGGCCTCGTCGCGTCGGTCGGCCTCGGCCTCGGCCTCGGTGCGCCGTCGCTTCTCGGTCTCGGCCACCTGCTCGGCCGCCTGCTTGAAGGCGAACTCGACCTTGAGCCGTTCGATCTCCTTGCGCGTCTCCTCGTCCAGCTGCTCCATCTCCTCCTTCCTCTCGCGTTCATCTTCTTCATCTACAGATGACAAAGTTAAACTAAATCAAAGTAACTGAACGAATAACTAATCAACTCGAGTTAAGATTAATCTTGGTTGCGATTTGAAGATTAGTTCGAGATGAAATCAAATTGGCAAGAGATTAGTTATGAGGGGATTTGGGGGGTGTACCGTCATCTGAGCCAGAGGGGGGCATGCCTGCAGGGCCGCCAGGGGGTGGGGCGTAGAATTGCTGCAGGAATTTTGGGGTGGGCCGTGTGTAGGTCATGGACTGGCCTCGTCCCAGCCCGCCGCCCTTCTTGCCTCCCCCGCCTCCGCCCATCCCGCCCCCCTTGCCTCGGCTCAGCGATCCCAGTCCTCTTCTCTCATTGCTCATGTTGGTCCGCTCGTGTTGATTTTCACTTTGTATTTCCCTGTATCCATTTTCTATATTAATCAAATATAATAAAATTATGAAATAGAAATAGACCACATTGGGGAGCAACAGGAAGGTGTATTTACAAAGTACGTTCACGTCTTTTTTAGATTTTTCGTTTCTCGGCTCTATCTGGTTCTACTTGACGGTGGCCTTGGCACGGATCTTGTCCTCGACGTCCTCGAGCGCGAGGTCATCGACGCCGGCGGCCTGGATGGGCAGGCTCATGCCGGCGCCCCACTGGTCGATGAGGCCCTTGGCGCCCTTGGCGAACATGCTCGCCACCATGCGCTCCTTGGTCGACGTGGCCTCGGGCGCCCACAGGATGAACACCAGGCGCGACCGCACGACGCCATCGGCGTGGGCGCGCCACGGCACCTGCGCCACGGCCATGCGGCACTGGTCGCGCGGCAGGCTCGCCACCAGGCTCTCCCACGTCGCCGCCGCCACCACCTCGCTGCCGGAGTCCGATGATGAAGAAGAAACTGGCGTGGTGGCAGAGACGGTGTCGATGGTGAGGCAGGACTGCTTGCCGTCGACGAACTTGAGGGTGCAGAAGGGCACGAAGAGCGGCGAGTTGTCGCTGGCGGAGGTGGTGGTGGTGAAGTCGTAGCGCTTGCTGACGGCGACGACGGCCGAGCGCACGTCGTCAGTGAGGTGGACAGCTCCGGTTCCGGACACGATCGACATTCTTAAGTTGTTGCTGTGTTGTCGAGTGCTGGGGCACTTGGGCTGGTTGGTGGTTGTTTGATGGAATGACTCGACTGGCCACCACAGGTGGGTATTTGAGGAGGCCAGCTTCAAGGAAGCCCACACCTCCCGCTAGTCGGCCAAGAAGGTGTGTTCATCGAACACACCCGCGCCATTCACGTAAAATTTTTAAGAGGGCGGTGTGGCCATTCGTAAAATAAAATAAAATTCTTTTTGGGTTTTGCAAAGGTATGTACACTCCGGACCTCTGATGCATCAGTTCTGGGTCTGTGTTGTAGACAACACAAACAAATACACATCGAGGAGGGCACCAGTAAAGAAGATGGTTGTGAGTTCACAAAGAAAATGAACACTTGACAAACCAAACCTAACTTGTCTTTGTCAGTGGGGATCAGTGTACCTTGAGCTTGGGCATCTGTCCCTTCTGGGACTGGAGCAGCCGCTGGAGGGAGCTCTTGGAGGAGACCGGGATCGGCACCTTCTTGCCCTTGGCCGCCCCGATTGACACTGCCCATCAAATAATGACGTTCATGTCAGAACATGCGCACGCGCACACCACCGCACGACACGCACGTACGACCAACAACACGACACGCGCGATCTGTACCCGTGGAGGAGGCGAGTGAGGTGCCGGCCGAGCTGAGCTGGCTCTCCTTGTTGGCGGTGGTAGCCGTGAAGAGCTTTCGCTTCTTGATCTGGCTGCCGCCCGAAGCCGACGCCGATGAGGCCGACGCCGACGCGGCCTTGAGGTTGACGGCGTTCTCCTTGTCGTCGTTCTGCGCAGACTCATCTTCGTTGTCGCGCAGGTCGCTGCTGAGCATGTCCTCGCTCGACCTCTTCTTGGCCTTGGCCTTGCCCTTGCCCTTGACGCTCTTGCGGGCCGCCTTCTTGGCATTCTTGGCATTCTTCTGCTTTTTCACCGGCGTGGCCTCAATCGTCGTGTCGGTCGCCGAATCGTCGTCATCGTCGAGCGGGATCGCGGTGCGCGGGAACAGCGACTTGAGCGTGCTGCCCTTCGACTTGAGCGACGTCGTCGACGAAGCGTAGCTGCTGCTGCTGCTGGCGGTGGTGATGGCCGGCGCGGCGGTGGTCACCACGGCCGACGATGACGACGACGGCATCGTGGTGGTGGTCGGCTTCTTGGCGGGCAGCTTCTCCTCAAAGAGGTGGGTGGCGTGGCGGCGCTGCTCGGGCTCCTCGACCTCGCTGTCGCCAGTCGGCCGGCTCGCGCGCGGGCGCTTGGTGGAGGCCCGGCGCCGCACCTCCTTCTCGCGCTCGCGCTCCGTGGCCTCGAACGTCTCGATCGACATCCGCTGCGATTCCTGCATTCCACACCAACCACCACCACGACCCACAGGAATCGATTGAGCACGTGCGCATTCCAATTCCTTGCATTGCATTCCGTTCATTCCTCTGCCTGCGTACCGTCTGTGAGCGCAGGGTGCGGATCTCTCTGTGCAACTTCTCCTCGGTCTGGCTCTGCTTCTGATGCGCCGACTGGTTGCTCACCGTCACCACCATCACAAAATCAGCCTCACATTCCAACCATACCAGCAAAACAGTGATCACATTCCACAATACAACACAACATTCCAATGTGGTGGCGAGCGCACGCGTACCTCGAGCTGGGCGCGGAGGGACTGGAGCTCCTTCTGCAGTTTGGCTTCGTTGGCGCCGGCGTCCTCCTTGGCCCGCTCGAGCTGCTGCAGGAGCAGCCGCACCTGCTTGCTGGACGCGGCCAGCGTGTGCTCGAGGGTCTCCACCTTCTCCTCGTACTCCCGGGCCAGGGCGCTCGCCGTGCGGCCCTCCTCGCGCTCCCGCTGCATCTGCCGCCGGTAGGCCGACTCCTCCTCGAGGATCTTCTCCAGGTCCAGTACGCGCTGCTGCATCGCCCTCCGGTCCTCCTGGTGGTGGGTAGCGGCGGCGGCGGCGGGTGGTGGTGGTGGTGAAGAAGATGAGTGGAATGACGCGGAAAAGAGAACAGAACGGGAGGGGGGGGGAAGAGAGAAAGCGAACCTCGCGGAGGGTCAGGGTCTTTTTGAGCTTTCGCTGGAGCTTGTCGGCGAGCTTGCGCGACTGGTCGCGCTCGGTGGTCAGGCGGGCCGCCTCCATCTGCGCCGCCTTCAGCTTCTCCTTGACCTCCAACACTTCGCCCTCCACCATCGCTGCACACATCCACAGCGTTATGAGCTCATGCGTCGTGTGCGCCCTGTATGCGTGTGCGGTGGTGCGCAGGTGTGTCGCGTGTCTGTCGTGTGTGCGTACCCAGTTTGACCTTGAGGTCGTGGGACAGCTTCCTCCGCTTGTCCAGCTTGCTTTGCAGGACCGCATAGTCGTGCTGCTGCTCCACGAGCAGGCTCTCCTTGTTGTGAATGATCTGATCGCACACGCACCACCGCACACGCACACGCACAGCACAAGGCCTATATTAGTCTTCGCACAATAGAACAACATCACGCCGAGTGCGCTCGGGACTAAACTGTGTTGGAGCTTTAAAAGATAGATACGTACGGATCCGATGTGGTCGGTGAGGGTGGCCTTCTCCTCCTTGTTGATGCGCGACAGGCTCTCGATCTGCTGGCGCAGCTCCTTGTTCTCCGCGCCGATCGACTTCTGCTGCTCGGTGATGGCCTCGTAGGCCGAGTTGCGCTCCTCCAGTCGCGCCTGAGTAGTCATTATATATCAGCCAATGATCATATCGTCATCTGTGCCATGATGAAGGAAATCATGTTGCTGACATAACACTGTGTGTCAGCAGTACCTTGAGGTGGTTGATTTCGTTGGTCAGGCTCTGGATGTCCGACGCCCCGAACAGGTCCTTGTTCACGCTCTGCCCCAGAGTTTAATAAAATAGTATATATTAAATTATAAGAAAAAAATAATGATATAAATTGAATTAATCATAATGATAAAATGGTTTGATGGAGGTATGGACGGGTACCACTTTGTTCTTGATCATCTTGGCGCGGTGGGCGTACTTGAGGGAGGTGAGGGTCTCGCGGTAGTTGGGCGCCGTGGTCTGGACGTTGATGATGAAGCACGTCTTCGAGTTGCCGCCCAGCGAGTCCTGGAGCAGCCGCGTGAGCTTGTTGTTCCGGTAGGGCACCAGCGCGCTCGCCACCTTGCCCGGCTTGCTCAACACCTCCAGCACATCACCTGTGCCACACAACATAATGAGCATTGGTCACTGTTGTGTGTCGTGTCGTGTCGTGTCGTGTCGTGTTGTGTTGTGTGCGCCAAAGTACCGAGTGCGGTGAGGGAGGCGTTGATCTGCTGGGCCTCCTTCTTGTTCTGTCCCTCGACCACGGACCGCACCAGACGCTCGCTGCCGGCGAGGTCCACCAGGTGCAGCTTGCCCATGGTCACGGGCGCCGTCTCCGATGCCGCCGGCCGCGATTCGATGTAGAACGTGAGAATCGCGTGCGAGCGCGAGCTCCTGTCGTTCATCTTCGTGGCCGCGCTCGATCGCAAGCGCATCTGTGCCCGCACGCGTAACAACGAGATTAGTTTTTGGCTGAAGGCGCTTGACTTGACTCGACTCGACCGGTGAAGTCTTCGGTGGTCAGTCAAAGTCAAATCAGAAGAATAGAAGGCGTACGCCTGCTTGGATGATCTCGCGGGCGTGTCGCATGGACTCGACCAGGGTGTAGAGCGAGTCCGAGCCCGCGAGAAAAACCTCGCCGGTACGCGTGTCCTCCCTGATCTCGATCTTCTTGGGCCGCCTGCACACGCACACAGCACACACGCACACACGCACACACAACGACACGACGTTCAATTAAATTGGATTGGGCTCCCACGAGCCGCACGAGCGCTGTAAAATGTGGGATGGCTGGGAGCTGGTACCAGTTGGGGAGCTGCTTGTTCTTGAACGAGGGATGGTTCTCGTGATCGAGCAGGTTGTTGAAGTTGTCCAGGTGGAGCTCGACAAAGGTGCACTTGACCACGAACACGGTGTCGCTCCGCGACTCGATCAGATCGAAGATGAGCTTCACCGCACGCGCGATCAGGCCAGGGTGCTCCCTGTTGGTGGACAGACGCCAAACGCAAATGCACGTGAGAACTCCACTCCACATACTACATGTATCGAGATATATCTCAACATAGCAACCTATCAACCTATCAACATATCAACAATATTGGCGAACGTACTCCGTGCCGAACATGGTGTGTGTCTTGCCCGAGCCAGTTTGACTGCCATAGCACGAGCAAGTAGCGTGAGATAAGAAGTTGGCACATGTAATTCAAGAAATAGACAGATGTGTACCCGTAGGTGAAGATGGTGGCGTTGTAGCCCTCCACGGCGGCGTCGACGAGAGGCTGCACGTATTCGAAGACCTGGGACTGCGTCGCGCGGTCGTCAAAGACGCGGTCGAACGTGAACGTGCGCGGCTCTTCCGGCCGCATGAGCGTGCGGTTGACGCTGCTGGGCGTGCCGCCCGGCCCGACGCCGCCGCGCATGGGCGAGGCCATAGGCGAGGCCACGTGTGAACGCGAAGGGGTCTGTGGGTGGTGGTCAACCAGCAAAGGGTGAGGTGTCACGATGTAGCGGCCACAAAGATGAGTGTGGCGGATGTAACGTACTGCTGCACGGCGCTGGATGGAGGTGGGCGTGGATTGCTCGCGGCGCAAGGTGGGCGTCACAGATGGTCGAGTTGGTGTGCGCTGTACCACCGCGGATGCGGCTGCAGATTTGATGAGAGTATTAGCTTTTGCTCAGTGATGCTCAGAAATTGTGACAGAGCTGATTACCAGAGCCAAGATCAGAAGCCGACGGAGGATGAAGGGTGATGGCGTTGCCCTCTACCGAATGGCACGTCGAGTAGCCTCGCTCGTGATCTTCAGCGCTCAGGGGCCTGATTCGCACCGCAACCCGCACGGCCTCTTCGGCCGGCTGAGGCTGCAGTGGTTGAAAATCTGACGTGTCCATCTCGTCTGGCAAATGAAGATGATAATTGATGACCGATTCGCCTCCAAGACGAGCCAAATCACCTTCTTTCTGGGATGCGATAAATAAGATCTCAATCCTTCTTCTCGCTCCCGGTCCCCGTTGGTTGCGCAAACACTTGCGCTCCGCTTTTTGGCGCGAAGAGTTGCAACGGCACCGTTTCGCGCCAAAATATTTATCATTTTTCTATCTATTTTTCCTTATTAGTCGAAAAAGAGGCAATAAAATGCCTCGCGTCACCTCGCTCGCGTTGACGTGCATCACAAGCAAAACGTCGAAGTAAATGGCCCAAGCTCCACAAGCAAGCGCGAGGGCGATTGGCGAGCTGAGGCTTCTGAGTACCGCTCTTGCTCCTTTCAATCCTTGTTGAGCTTGGCCGCAGTAAATCGCTTCTGCCGCCCGAAGCTGGCCTCGCTCAACACGTACCTGTTGTTGTTGTTGTCGTTGTTGTCGTTGTTGTCGTTGTTGTTCTGTACTATGAGCAAGGTTTGGTTAACCGTGAGCCGCGGGAGGCCACGTACGAAGAGTTGTCGGCGAACGCGAGCTCCACCTTCTCGATCAGCACACGCTTCGACTTCAGTAATTGCGTGCTCAGGTCGCGTTTTTCTTGTGTTGCCGAAGAGGTGCGTGCATGTCGTATTAGGTGCCGCTAGAACGAGCAAGCAAGAAGCAAGGAAGGAAGAAGGTACCAGGATTGGAGATAGTGCGGAGTGTAACATTAAGATGCGCGATTCCATTTGGCCCTTCACACACACACACACGACACACACCAGATCAGTGGGTGAGCCGGCTAGCACGCCTCTTGGTCAACTGCCAGAGTGCGTACCAACGATCTTGACCGTTTCTGTCCACCGAATCCGGGCGTGGATGCCTACGGTCAGGTAGGGCACGCTCCAGCCCCCGAACGTCTTCTTGCCACTGATGATCAACAGCTCCACGCCTGCTTAGACGCTGTGTTAAGTGGGTTTGTAGTGTGGTACGCGCCTGTGTGGTGTGTGTCGTGTGTGTGTGTTGTGTGTGTGGTGTGGTGGTGTGGTGGTGTGGTGGTGTGGTGGTGTGGTGGTGTGGTGGTGTGGTGGTGTGGTGGTGTGGTGGTGTGGTGGTGTGGTGGTGTGGTGGTGTGGTGGTGTGGTGGTGTGGTGGTGTGGTGGTGTGGTGGTGTGGTGGTGTGGTGGTGTGGTGGTGTGGTGGTGTGGTGGTGTGGTGGTGTGGTGGTGTGGTGTGGTGGTGGTGTGGTGGTGTGGTGTGGCGCTATTTTCTTCCATTGGTGTGGCGCTATTTTCTTCCATACTACTACGTTACCATCCATGTTGTCTGCCAGCGCGTTGATTTTGTCGTCCAATCGCGATTCCAGAATCTCCATGGTGTAGGGCCTGCCCAGCTGAGTTTCGACAACCACCACCAAGACATGTCAGCAACTCAACGCTCAGCCCTTCAGCCATTGCGCCTGCCGCAATGCGGGCGATATAAAGAGAGTTTGGAGGGCACAGCAGACCTTGGTTTCGAGGACCTTCTGCAGCTCCTGGCCGTCGACAATCGTGTAGCCGGTGTGGGGCGGCGTAGGGCCCTTCTCCCGGTACTTGAGCCACCAGAGCATGACACGCTCGAAGGAGGCCTTGTCCATGCCCGACGCATAAGAGACTGTGCACACCATGTCGTCACGGGCTCCAGCGTTAGCCCGCAACCACACGACACGCACGACACACGCCAAGTTGTGCTTCATACCGAGGTGAGAGCAAAACGGAGCGATGATGAGGGCCGTGCACAGCAGGAGCACGTCTCGCAGGAAGACTCGCCTGTATGGTCGCGGTGCCTGCACACAAGTTTGTATGTACGCCGCACACGTAGGATGATGAGCATCGATGATGATGAACTCATGCGTCTACTGACACACGAAGCAAAGCTGAAGATGAAGATGAAGCTGGAGATGAACTGCACGTACGGCCGGCGTGCGAATGGTGGCTGGGTTCGGGCCGGTGTAGACCAGGTGCAGCTTTCCGCCTCGCTGCAGCTCATTCAGGGTCACGTAGCGCCGCGTAGTTGCCGCGACGAGACGTGCAGAAGTGGTGCGACCGTGCCCAAGCCTTGTGGCGGCGGTGGTGGAAGTGGCGGAGGAGAGGAGGCGTCGATAGGCTGGCAAGGAGTAGGTACGCAGCGTGGAGGCGAATCGGCTGAAACAAGTAGAACGATGGGGCGCAGTTCCGGGAAGAAGAGAAGATGAAAAAATATTTGCAGGGAGGGGTGGTGCAGAAAAAGAAGAAGAAGAGGTGAGCAGCCCTCCAGACTGTGGAGACCCACTGAGATTCCATCGTGGAGATGCGAATGCTGTCGATCTTAGCGCATTTTTGGCTGAAAATGGCCTGCACAACAGGCCTGCTCGCTTCATTACTGTGGGCCTGCTCCTTCTAAAGGGTTCTCTACGGCCGTGGTGCGCACCAATCGTGCGAATCTGCCCGTACGCTTTGCTTTTCCTTTTTCTTTTCATTTTCATTTCCCGCCAATGCATTTCGCGCCTTTTCTTCTTCTGTGCGAATTGTGACAATCGTGAGCGATTGCCACAATCGGTGAGCGACTCGCACTTCATCTACCAACTCTCCTCGATCGCCATCATGAACCGTTGTGGTGCACGCGCCTCTCTTGGACTCTGCCGCCAGCGCTTGGCCTCCTCGCCCACTGCTGCCGCGCGGCTCTACTCGTCGGCCACGGTGAAGATAGAGAAGACGGGCGAGCCGGTGAAAGTGGCCCTCATCCCTTCAGATGGCGTCGGCAAGGAGGTAGTGCCCGAAGCCCGCCGAGTGCTTGAGGCCGTTGAGCCTCATCTGCCCTTCGCATTCTCGTGGGTGCCGCTACACGCCGGCTGGGAGACCTTCCAGCAGCAAGGCACGACCTACACTTACAATCAATCAATTGGGATTTATTTATTTATTTATTTTTTAAACTCAAAGAAAGTGATTTATAATTTAATCCAATTATTCAATTTATTATTCTCTATTTAATGTGACACCACAGGTGTCTCGCTGCCCAAGGAAACGATCGAGGGCTTGAAGGGCTGCGACGGCGCGCTCTTCGGTGCGGTGTCGTCGCCCTCGCACAAGGTCGAAGGCTACTCGAGCCCCATCATCGGCATGCGCAAGGCGCTCGACCTCTACGCCAACCTCCGGCCCGTCATCTCCGCTCCTATCAAGGTTTGTGCACTTGCGTGTGTCGTGTCGTTGGTCGTGTGCGTGTGCGTGTCGTGAGTGCGTGTAAAGCCTCGACTGAACCTCTTGACACACTGCGAGCAGACCAGCCGACCGGACATCGACATGTTGATCGTGCGCGAGAACACCGAGTGCCTGTACGTGAAGAAGGAGCGGATGGAGAACGGACCCCAGGGCCGAGTCGCCATCGCCGACCGCGTCATCAGCGAGTATGCCTCCACCAGGATCGCCCAGATGGTGCGAGACCCGCTCCTCCCCGCAGCACTGCATCAACTCACAACGTGTGTGTGTTGTGTGTGTGTGTGTTGCAGGCCTTCTCGCAAGCGGAAAGGCGAGCGGCGGTGAGGGCCGGCAGCAAGCGACCTGCGCGTGTGACGGTCGTTCACAAGTCCAACGTCCTGTCGGTCACTGACGGTAACGTAACGCTGAGCGTAGCGATGTGGTAGCCGTCACAGTCTTCTTCCTGTTGGAACTTAGCTGAGACGATCTTCCGCCACACTGTAGGTCTTTTCCGCGAGTGCGCTCTCGAGGTGGCCAAGAAGTACCCGCACATCGAGGTCGAGGAGCAGCTCGTCGACTCCATGGTTCGTCGTTGCCTTTGTTTGGGCTTTTTAATGTCTGTTTTGTTTTATAGTTTTGGCTCACTTTTTTCGCGGCGTACTGCACAGGTGTACAAGATGATTCTCGATCCTCAGCGCTATGACGTCGTGGTGGCGCCCAACCTCTACGGTGACATCCTCTCCGACGCCGCTGCTGCTCTCGTCGGCGGGTGCGTCTTTCCAACCCACACGCACACACGCACACACGCACACACGCACACACACCGACACACACACGACACACACACCACACGAAAAATGCAATTGCATTGCTGACGTTGGTGGGGGGCTGTGACAGTCTGGGTCTGGCCCCGAGCGCCAACGTGAGCGACAGCTTTGCGCTCTGCGAGCCCGTGCACGGGTCCGCCCCGGACATCGCCGGCAAGGGCATCGTCAACCCGCTGGCCACCATCCGAGCCGCCGCGCTCCTGCTCCGCCACCTCCGCGGACCCCACGCCGACGCCGCCGCGCAGATGGGCGACGTCATCGAGGAGGCCGTCAACCGCGCCCTCGCCGCCGGCCCCCTCACTCCCGACATGGGCGGTACCGCCGCCCACTTTTCTCTTGGGGGGGGCTGACTGCATAACTGACACATTCCTGGCAGGCAAGGCGAGCACCACGCAGGTGACCGACGCCGTGATCGAGCACCTCAAGAGCCTCCTGCTCAACAAGCATTGAGTGTTTATCCCCCCCTTCTTTTTTTCGCTTTCGCTCTTTTCATTCATCAAAACGGCGCGTGGCGTTCTCGAGTGTGCTGTCGTCTTCGTTTCTTTTCCGTCTTCGTTTTCGTTTTTGCTGGTGCGGTGGTCGTCGTTCGTGTCGTGTTGGTGGTCCGTCCCGCGCAGAAAGTCGGCGATGATGCGGTGCGCCTCGTCCGGGCGCTCGAGGAAGGCCGAGTGCTTGGTGTCGGCAATGACGGCGCTCTGGTGGTTGGCCACGCGGCCCACGCCGAAGGCCTCCTCGAAGCGCGGCAGCCAGTCCTTGCGCGAGATCAGCTGGTCGTGCTCGCCCCACATCACCAGCGACGGCCGCGCGTGCTGACCCACCTCTGCTATGACTTCCTCGAGATCGCGCAGAGGGAAATTTCTGTAGGACCCAAGGTAAGCCACGCGACACGCGACACACGGCACACGGCACACACATGATACGTACGTGAAGGAGTTGATGAAAGCGCAGGCAAACGCGTAGCTCCCGTACATGCCTTGCGTGTGCTCCATCACGTGCGCTATCGCGTTCTTGCTCGCCTCCAGGTCCATGAAGTCCTTCACAGTGAGGTGGTGAGAGAGTCAGTGTGGTTTGGGGCTGGTTAGAGTGTCTGGGAATCTGTTATAATGTTGGTTGGTTGGTTGGTTGGTTGGTTGCAGTTGGTTGCCATTGGTTGGTTACCTCCTTCATCATGTCGTCCTGTTTGGCGAACCATTGGAAGAGCCGTGGACCCAGGGCGGGGAGGCGCATCAGCTGCATCTCCAATGGCACGCTGAACTTCATGCCCGCCGGCCCGATCAGCACCAGCTTCTCCACCTGCCCCACGCCACCTGCGCGTTACCCTCTCGTGTGCACCACACACACCACACCCGCACACGCCGCACACGCACCAGGTCGGGATAGCGATGGGCGACGAGGAGCGACACGGCGCCGCCCATGGAGTGGCCGACGAGCGTGAAGCCGTCCGTGCGCAGCGGAGGCGGCCTGTAGTCCCTGGAGGCGTGGTTGTCCTTAACACCGTATATCCTGCACATATGCGAAATTTAGTTGTAGAACTTCTTTAAGCATATCCTGCACATATAATTTTTATATATATATTTAGATAGATATTTTTAAATATTCAAGTGGAGTGGTACCGAGGTGTACGACGAGGTGGTGGGTGAGGAAGTCCCACACGCGAGCAACGTGGTCAATGCCGTGCACGCAAATGACGACAGGCACGCCCTCGTCGTCGGAGAGGTGGGATTCATGTGCGTAGGCCGCTCCAGGCGGTAGTGGACCTCTCCCTTGGACAGCCTCACCTTCTCGTCCACCGCAATCGCCACCACCACTTCATCTTCTCTTCCTTCCATCTTTCCTTTTGTTTGTTAACTTCAAGAAAAATGTGTGAACGAGTAGCGGCACAGAACGTCGAACAGGCCTCTACACGACAAACGTGTGTCGTGTGTCGTGTGTGTGTCGTGTGTGTGTCGTCACAGTCTGTCCAGGGAAAGAACATTCATTCTCTGAGATCAGGCATAGTGGAGGAGGCTGGGTGAGGCCACATGGTGATGATGTGATGCTTAGTTGGTCCGCACGGGAGGAGAGACCAGAATGACACCGTCGCCACGCACGAAGAGCATCTCCACTGTTCGCTTTCGCCGCTGGAGAAGTACAACCGCGCAAGCAAAGGAGAGAAGACGAAGAGATGAGCGAGTTGCGCCCAAGAGAGCCATCATGAACACGACAGGCAGAGACACCCGCACACATTGCAAGCACTCTACACACCAAGCACGACGAAAGACGTGTCCCACCCGCGCATAGGGAGAAGTAGCGCAAGGCTTAGAAACCGGTGCCATACCTTGATGATTTCCTCGTCGGTCTCCTCGTCCATCTCCACGGTTGTCACGGTCTCCTCGACATCTCCCAGCACCATGTTCAAGTGTTGATCGTAGGCCTGCATTGAAATTGACACAGATTAAAAATGAGTAAAATATACATTCTGAATTAACTGTAAAAATTGCGCAGGTGGATCCGAGTGCAGCCGAAATGGCGATTTAGAAAAGAGGGGGGGGGCAATTACATGGAGCTTGCCGCGGAGCTCGCGTTCACCACGCAGCTTGACGTAGATGCGGTCATCAAGGGAGAGCCGGATGAGATCGAGCGGCTCCTCTACGGTGCTACCCAACTGAACATCTCTGTTGTTGCCTCCCTGCATTGTTTCGGCCTATCTCGTGAATGAAAGATTTTCTTTTCTCATTTCCTTGAGCAAGCCAAGCTTTTCTTGCACCAATGTGTGGGGTGGAGAGCTGCTCTGGTTGCCCGACCACCACACCAGCTGATGAGCATCAACTTGGTGAGATCAGAACTTCACGGCGTCAGGAACAAGCGTGCGCGCCTTGGCTCTGCTGAGCGCCTTCCACAGTGTCGATTGTGCGGGCCAGTGGCTGATGAGAAGGGGACGATGATGTAGGGCTGATGCACCAGAGCGGCCCCGCTGACGAAGAAGTTGACGAGCACGCAGACAGATAACACCGGATCGCCCAGCACAATGTCGCTGAAGCTGAGCTTACCACTCTGCTTGGCTGTGTGCCCGCTTTCACAATCAGCTGGTCCGTGCGTCTGCGTGTGCTTCTGCGTGCGTGCGTGCGTGTGTGCGTGTGTGCGTGCGTGTTTTGCTTACTTTTGGGCCAGGCGGCGAGGACGTTGGAAGATATGGCGGACGAGAGCAGTACGAAGACTGAGGCCAGCACGGCTTGGCGGCCACGCCGACCACGTAGTCCCTAACTCTCTTGCGGTCGTCGCTCCTGAACTTGAACCTATCGCCCTTCCGCACCACCTTCTCCAAACCGGTAGAGTGGGTCCCCGTTCGCTCGCGCAGACTCTTCCACCCACAGCCATCTCTACACCCTTCACGAGATGGCGGCCTGCCTTGACTTTCCGGTGTGCTTGCAGGCTTTGTAGAAGATACACCAGGCTGAGAAGTTGAGGATGTAGAAGAATATATTCACAGTTCTATTTATATTAATACAATACTCTATTGTATGGACGTAGGTAGCTCTCGTCGGTGTCGCAATGCGCGGGTCGAGGTCGAGAGCAGTGTGGAGAGGCTGGATGCTACAAATGTACATGATCGGCAGATGATGATGAGGAAGAAGACGAGGACGGCCGAGGTTGTGTGAGTAGTTACATGGCCTCGGAGCTGTGGCAGCAGGCGGCCTCCTGGCGCAGCTTCTTGGCCAGGCCGAGGTGGGTCGGGATCGTTCGCTGCTGGAAGCGGGTCTTCATCCACGGGTGGGCCAGCACGTCCATCATCGTGGCGCGCTTGAGCGGGTTGGGCTGGAGCAGCTTGGTCAGCAGGTCCTTGGCCGCCGACGAGACTCCGACGGGCATCTTGAACTTGGCCTCAGTGATCTTGAGCGCGGTGGACTCCTCGGTCGGGGCGTCGAAGGGGATGCGCGCGGTGAGCATGGCCAGCAGCAGAGCGCCGAGGCTCCACATGTCGAGCTCGGGGCCGGTGTAGGGCGTGTGGGTGACGATCTCGGGCGCGGCGTAGTTGAGCGTACCCACGTACTCCTCGACGGTCTGCACCGGCGACCAGGTCATGGCGAAGCCGAAGTCGCCCAGCAGCACGTTGTCGTTTTCGTCGAAGAAAACGTTCTCTATAAAAGGAAAAATGATGACGTCAGTAAAAGAAAATGGAGGAAAATGGAAAAGAACGAAGGCGGCGAAAAGTGGCGGAGGCGAAGTAGAAAGAAGAACTCTCGCTGAGTAGAAGAAGATGAGAATGGTTGAAGTGCGTACCAGGCTTGAGGTCACGGTGCACGACGCCCCTGCCATGGAGGTAGTTGATGGCGAGGACGAGCTGCTTGAAAATCTTGCGGGTCTGCTTCTCGCTGAGTGGTCCCTGGGCGTTGAGTCGGTCGAGCAGGTCGCCGTTGGCGGCGTACTGGAGGACGAGGAAGATGTTGGCGTCGGTCTCCACCTCGCCCATAATCTTGCAGACGTGCTTGTGGTTGATCTCGCTCATGACGCGGCTCTCGCTCTTGGTGCGGTTGTAAATCTTTCGGCCCTTCTCTGACTGCAGGTCCTTCTTGACGATCTTCACCGCTACGTCGGCGTTCGAGGGCGACAGGCTGCCCCTGTAGACCGTCGCGCTACCGCCGCTGCCCACCTGCTCGCGAATCACCACCGTCTCCTCGTGCATGGCCATCTTTTGTGTGCTGTGTTGTGTAGTTGAAGATGAAGATGGAAGATGAAGATGGAAGGAGCCGAAGTAGTTGTCGTTCGACGCTGGAAGTGAGATGGAGGAGCTGAAGAAGATTGAGCACTATGGGAAAGCAGTGAGATACTCACTGGCCCGCGTGAAGGAGTTGTTCGCTGGAAGAAGAGAGTGAATGAAGAGAAAGGCAGAAGCAGGCCTGTGTTTTATGCTCACCCAGCAAGCCCCACACGGCGGTGTCGCCTCTCGCCACGCCCAAAACGTCACCGCCTTGGCCAACGTTGCACGCGTGGGCTCGTTCCAGCCGCATAGTTTCGAAATTTCACGGTTGAACACGGTGGCGACCCGGGGTGTTGAGCATCGGCCAATGGCGTGAAGGTGGAGGTCAAACCTGGGCGTGCGGGATGGTGGACCGGCACTTGTCAAGTTTCCCTTTGTTGGCAAGCCTGTACCACCAGCTACACAGCCGCAAGCCCCAAAAAGCGCCACTGAGTGCTCTGGTTCGGCGGTGTGCGGCGGGCGGCTGTGCTGGGGACTCACGGCCGAGTTTTCGTTGCTTGGCCACGCTTGGAGGGCATGCCTGTGGGGGCGGGGGGGGGGGCAACACGTCTGTCCCTGCACAGTCAGTGGTGAACCGAGGCCACCCCAGCAACGTCAGGCAGCAAGGAACAAGCAGATGAAGTTCGCACAAAGAGAAAGGGTGAGTGAAGAAGTGCCAAGGAGACACAAAACGCACACTGGGCGAGGTGATCCAGTCTTATGGCTTACAGATGAGGCCTCCATTTGACTTGGCGATCGCGGGTCTGTTTTACTATGTAACAAACAGTCTGGTGATTGTACACTCTTGCACAGTCTTGGCCAGCACTAACAAAAACACATATTTGTATCTACATTTCCACTGCTGCTCCTTCACCGTCGCTATCCTCTCCTTCTTCATCATCGTATTCCTGCTCACTTTCATCCTCCTCCTCGTCGTCGTCGTTACCCTGGCTGCGCCTTTGCCCTCGGGCAGAGAACGGACCCTCGACCTTGACGAAGTGGGCGAACTCGTGCGCCTCGCGCAGGTCGGCATCGCTCGCGCACAGGTTGGCCAGCATCTCGAGCAGGTCGCGGTCGCGCGCCACCGAGGCCACATTCATGCAGGTCCGCATCGCGTCCCGCACGCCCGCCACCAGCCCGAACAGCCGCCGCCCGTGATTAGCCCGTTGCTCTCCGCCGCTAAGAGATAAGGTGCCAGTCGCGCTGGGCTTTGCTGCTTGTTGTCGACGGTACTCGGCGCACAGCACGGTCTTGATGTGAACGTAGGCGCGGAACAGGCCGGCTATGCCGGCGGCGTCGCGGTTCATGGTGGCCAAGACCATGGCCTGGCCCAGGTCGGCGCCGAAGGCCACCAGCGTCGTCACGGCGCCCGTGTGCCCGGACTTGGCCGCGCTGAGCAGCAATCGGCGGTCGGCCGCCAGCGTCGCGCGGATCACGCTCCCGGGTGTGAAGCGGGCCACGTCGCGCAGGAAGGCGGCCAGTAGCGGGGCGTGGTCGCCGTCGACCATCCACTCTACCGTGTGCGCGAGCCAGCTCGACATGCGCGCCTCGGACTCGCGGCGCTGGCGCTCGGCCAGGTCGCGCAGCGATTGGCGCAGGTCGGCGAAGGCCGCCTTGAGATGTCGCAGCACCAAGCTCGTCGAGCCGCGCCACGTTGTCGACGCAGATGTCGGTGCCGCTGCCGGTGTGGAATGTTGCCGACGTATTGGAATGTGAGGCGACGGTTCATGTGGCGAAGGCGCCGACGGCGTGGTAGAACGTGAAGGCGATGAGCCGCCGATGTGGCGGAGGTAGAGGGCGCGCCAGAGGGCATCGTCGTGGGCCAGGGCGCACCACTCGCGGGAGACCAGCGGTACGTTACGGAGAAGGGCCATAGGCTGCAGCATGGTGAACACGTGCAGCTTGACCTCGTCCGGAAGACACGAGAAGCCGGTGGCTTCTTCCACCACCGACGACGATGGTGGCGATGATGGCCTTGTGTGGCTGACAGGTCGTCGTGGCCTAGGCGCTCGCGCCTCCTCTTCGTTTTTGTCTTCGTCTTCGTTCTTCACGCGACATCGCTTCGCGTTTGCTGTTCGTTCTTCTTCGTTTTCGTTCTTCTCCCTGCCCGGCCGCTTGCGCTTATTGGCCGCGCTGGGCGAACGCCAGCTAGAGTTCGCGGCCAAGACGGTGATAGTCGACCTGTCCTGTTTATGGTTGCGACACACCAGAAATGTCCAGGGGTTAGTTACATGTTGCATGCGAAAACTGCGCTGTGGTTGGCTGATTTTGTTGCCTAGGGCCAGGTGCCGGTTGCACCCAAGTTACAGAATGGGAGCAAAAAGCGATATTTACATCTACACACGCAAAACAGTAAATAAGTAGCCGTTAGGTACCTGATCGGGCAGTGTGGCCAATTGTACGGGGTGGCCGGGTCGGCGACGCTGGCGATGGCCAGCCGCAGCATGTCGTCCCCGCATTCGGCGACCGTGATGGTCCACCGGCCCACCACGAACTCGCGGGTGTTCGCCGCCAGCGCTGACGCCGTTGAGGAATCGTTGTTCGACGACACTTTCGGCAGCCGGCAGTGGTCCGCGCTCCAGTCGTGTGTGGCCGCGAACATGGCGCTGTTTTGCTTCTCTTTTGTGTGTGGCAGCAAAGAGTTCGTGGTATTCGCCCGCGTGTGTTGTGCGGCGTGTGTTGTGCGGCGTGTGTGGTGGTTGTGCTGGGTGCGGGTGTTGCTGGTGGAGATGGTGCAAGCAAAGGCGAACGGAGGTAAGAGAAGTGCCCAAGAGCGGCCGACTTTATGGCTGTCTGCGGACATTGGTGTGACAGCCCGCACATGGTGCGGTCGCGTGATATCTGAATCGTCACGGTTGGTGGTTCACTAGTAAGCTGGCAGGGCTTGCTTAAAGGAGCCCAGCGGATTGGTTCTCACCAGGATCGCAGCTTTCGTTCGATCATGCTCGCCGGAGTGCACCTTATCCTATGGAAATTTCGCAGGCAGGATCTTACTTTACTGGTCGACAAAAAGTGTGCTTTGACGCTGATAGGATGGGCTTAAAAAATTTCGACGAATCTATGATATGTGTCGACTTTAAGGCTCCGGTGTGGTGTTGCTGCGGAGTTGTTCGTTATCACAGTTTTACGGGGGCAAGCTGGGTATTGAAAAAGCCTAAAGAAAGGCAAGATTCATTTTTCCCACCAGGCACGCACCTACGACGTACGTCGTGTCCACCCGGCTTCTAGAGTCTGTTTTTGTGTTTTTTCAATGTATCTCTCGCCGTCTGGCTTGCAAGTCACACATTTGCCGATTCTCTCACCGTAGAAGCAGGCCGTGCACTCCTCTTTACCGGTGCGCACAGTGTGCGTGGAGGGCGGTACACATTTGCGGTGCACTCACCATATCTGGCGGCAAAGCAAGAGGATAGTGACCCGGCACCCTGCAGTCCTAAGGTGGTTGTTGAGG